TTGCATATTTTTTTTTGATCGCTAAAAGTTGAAAACAAAATTAACCTTTGGCATTTTTTCGGTAGCTGTAGTCTGCTGACAAGGATGTCAAAGCCTCTTTTTCTTCCGAAAATTTCAAAAAAAAAAAAAATTAATGCCCGTTACAAGCCCTTTATGTACCACCACCAACCAGATTGCTTTTAGAACGGATAATTCGTAAAAGTTCTGGTTTTTTTCGCTGACCGAATCGACCCGCTGCCTAACTTTTGGAGAGTTGCGCTAACTGTCACTTATCAGCTCCTTCAGCGAATCATAATTGTATGTTAGGGAATGTTGTATCCATGTAATTTCATAAGTTTTTAAGTCGATCCTTCTATCAGATTGGTGAGCTGCTTCCCTCTTCTCCTCCCTCTCCCCTCCGTCTGTCCTTCTGTTCCTCCCCACGAGGACCTTGATCTCTTATTCTTGTCATTTTACATGTTTTAGAGATCGGAATATCCCTGTTCAACTCTCTAAATTATATATTTTATATATATATGTGTGAAATATTTTATATGCATATATATCATGATTAACATCTCTATTATGTTTTTCACAAAAGCAGTCAGTTTTGAAGAAATTTAAAAAAACTCGGTTATGATTGATATTATGTAAGAATCAGATATGCATCACTGAATAAGAGAGCTTCGCATAGCAGCTGTTATGATAACTGTATGCATCCCAGTGGTATCATGTGCACGGGATACCCATATTGACTATGCAGATATTTTTGGTGTTGTTGGTATGTAAGAAGTAAAAGTGACTACAGTGAAACTCGCTTTTGCAGGGCAAAATATTCACCCCACGGCTGGGCGAAATAGTGGATGCTACGATTGAATCTCATATCTATCAAGTGACTCTTAGCGATTCCCTCATGTCCGCACTTATTTTCCAATCGGTAAGTCCTTTTCTCTCCTTACAACAATTTTCTTCCATAAAACCTTCCGCGTTTGAAGTCTAGAAAGTGCGGGTGTATTGGAATGAGCTTAATTCATCTCAGAGTAAATTTGGTTTCACCAAAAAATGGAGGAGAATTATCCCAGACGAATTTTGATGTTTTATACGTAAATGAGAAAACAGCTGCTTTTTTGGACAGCTTTCGAGGAAACACGCCTTAAGCAAGCAGTGGATGCTGGAGATGGAGTTGCAGCCGCATGGACTGAAAGGCGTGAATGTGGTTTAATCCGAGTAGCATTACTGATGTTACGACGACGACGTTACGACGATACTGTTACGACGAGCTTCGGTTGAAATTTGGATGAACGCTGATATGCTGTAGGCGCTTAGTGGACAGACTGGAGTAAAAAAGCGAACTTTATCAATACTGATACAAGCTTACAAGTGATTCGTTGGGGCGACGGGATTAGATCGGGCGCTTGCAGCGACAGCCGCTGCGGACAAAGTGCTGATAACTGGAATGCAGCGAGACACTGCTGCAATGGACCGCTGGACGCGAAACACGGGGCACACCGAATATCAACGATCCGGAATACTGAAGACACGGGACGGCGACGCGGAACACTGGGGGGGATACACGACGATAACACGGAAAACGCATTCGACGATAACGCTGAACATACAATTAATCTTACAACAAATTTACAAGCTTAAATACTCATCACAAAGGGCGGGACAGATCACCGGTCAAACTGCTGCGCGATTCTAGATTGCTCCTTGCTTCTCCTGCGCGCCATTTTTTGCTCGCTCTACACTGATGTCGAATTTTCGCACTGATTGCCTAGCAGTTTAATCGTAGTAAAAACATTTTGTTGTTTAGTATTCTGTGTAGTATTTTACCGCATATTCAATTGATCGCTTGCTTAACTGGGCTTCCAGGTGAAAGATGCAGAACTGAGTTGGCTAGATGCTCGAATAACAAGACGGAAAACAGTAACAGCTGCACAGAGTGTCACTGAAGAGAGCGCAGAAGCGGGCGCGGGCAGGGAGAATGACGTGGAAATTATGGAGCATGACGGTGTGGAATCCGAAGAAAAACGATTGAACAATTTGAAGGTTGCATCGGCAGATACATTCTGCTTGGAACCAATGATTTCCGCTAACATCCCTTCACATCAGGTTCGGATTTTTCAGTTCCTCCAAATTTTTTGTGGTATTCTTTTAACAATATAATGCGGAATCCCCATCATCCGGTTCTTACATCGCTGGATTTTTGAGAAATGGTGTTCTGTACTAGGAGTTCCGGAGCTTTTTTTTGACGTTCTTTGGCCAACAGTTGCAGCATTTTTCTCGTCGAAAGTTAACAAGAAGCAGTGTTTTTGATGATAATTGAGGATCGGGACTGTCATTTATTTTAGGCCGTGTTTGTGAACGATCCGAAACTTTCGGATCTGAAACACCTGTTATCATCGAATGGATTTCGGGCAGAATTCAGTTCTGGTGTGTTGTATGTCAACAATGTTGCTAGCATCCGACGTAACGAAGCTGGACGTTTTCACGTGGAAGGCTGCGCTAGTGAAGACTATTATAAAATACGGGATATTGTCTATGCACAGTTTGCTGTCGTGTAATCTTTGTTGTTGATCTTCTATTAATTTTTTCGAGCATTTTTATGAGTTTTTAGGCATTATAAGCGATTTCGCAATAATTTAGAAAAGTGCCGCTGAAAATCCTACGCTGAATTGCTGTTTCTTTTATTAAGGGGCTGAATATTTGTCGCCTCTCATTGCAGAATGTTGACTCGATTGAAACTAGAAGCACTCTAGGCGCTTTGACTTTACCCCCGCAACGCACCATTTGTCGATGTGGGACGGAATAGCAAAAATTTAGTATTAGTAGCGTCGAATTTTCTTCAAGAGGAGTAGGAAATGAGTAGAAGCGCAGAAAAATTATCCAGAATGACGCGAAATTTTGGTGGCTGTGCATGGAATTTTGCATCGAACTGAAGTATTAAGTGGCTTCAGAGAGTAGATAATCTGATCAAAAAACGCCAGAAACTGCGATCAGAAAGAAACTGTGACCACTGCTTGCAGAGATGAATTGAGAAAGCAAAGAACTGTATTTTGTGTGATTTTTGATCTCGATGCGTTGATGAGTTCATTAGAATATTGGACTTGTCACAACGCGTTTTCGTTGGAATTATGTACAAAGTTTTAAATTTTGTCTGTCTTCTTAAAATATAAATTTTGCATAACAGGACTGCGCCATGCATTCCCGAAGGCGGTCAATGTCGATTCCCGCCGTGATTCATTTTGGACAAAGGTGGAGGCACATGGAATAGTCTATGTAGCAACAGCAACCACCAGCTTGCTGACTCCTTCATATGGGTGCTTTCGAACAACATGGCAACACAAGATATGCCTTCTGTAGACGGATAGTTATGGGGCAATTACAAAAACTCGGCTCGGCAGATGGTCGATAGTGTTTGAATGTGCTCTAGCATCTCTGCTAACGCTACTTCGCAGCGTCCGGAACCGCTCGGCAGTTTGCCAGGCGCCCTGGGTAGCGCTACTTCTGAACATAACCAACGGTGGCCTTTGATCACATGGATGTTAAGATGACTTTCACGTCCTCTTCATATCTCACGTACGTCTCACGTGCGCACGCGTGAAATTTTGCTTAACTTCGCAGCCGAAACAGCTAGAACGCCGAAATTTTTTGAGCATGACCCAAGACCCTTGTTGAGCAAGCGCATATG